TTCTTGGCGGATCCTTTTCATCTTCGAACTCGACCGAGATATTGTCAAGACTAAACTGTGTAGAAAATTTCATCGCAATCTGACTCTCCTTTCGAAAGTTATCGTGTAAACGGCCGGACGGACACACAGACCGATTTTAGTAGTGTACTCACTTTTTGAGTACACTAAAAAAGACAATTAATTGACAAGAATACATCAGCATTATTTGACAATCACTTTTCTTTTTCTCCTTTTCTTTTGTAAATTATCTCTAACGTGTATTAGTGATTGACTTTATTCGAATAAATTATGAATGTTCCATGTTGAATATGACGATCAAATCAAGCTATTGTATTTCCATCCGTCCTACATATTTGTTTAAAAGAAAAAAGAAGAAAGGGAAAGAAAGAAGCGGAAAGAAAAAGAAAAGAACATTGAAAAGTGCCGAAACATAATAACCAGAATAGTCCCACTGCTGTCCTACTACTATTATGTTCAACACAGCACAACATGAAGAGCACTACAAATTCTTTTTCTGCTATGAAAAACAAACTGAACTTACATTTGAAATTTTAGTCTTTTGAAATATCCAGTGCATAGGAGAAAAAATTTTTACGACCCCGCCCCCTCCCTCCCCCAAAGTTGGAAGAGTCGGGGCAGCCCTGCCTATAGTATACAACTTTAGAAATTCGTATTATGACAAGTCAACAGATCATCTTCTGATGGAATCAGTAGTGTCAAACTTGAAAGTTGAATTCAATTATTGAACAGTTGAAGTTCAACTATTCAATTATTGAATAACTGAATAGTTGAAGTAAATTTTCAGGTTTGACATGCATGATTTATTCAAACAAATATATTTAATAGTATTAATAATAATTAAATAAAACATACGTTTATTATTATCATAATGAATAGCATAAACAGTTCTCATTAATGGATGTTCAATTATAGTTTTAACTTGATCTTGATCATATTCATTTGTTTCATCATCATCATTTCCATCATCAAAACAAACAATCCTATTTAAATTAAATTATGTTTAAGTAAAAAATAATAAATAAAAAAATATAATTTACCGTCCATTTTCTCTATCAGCAACATAAACAAGATCAAGTGCTTCAATAATAATAATACTATGTGGAATAATAAGTTGTTGTTCTCTGTCAGGCATTGAATATTCTTTTAGAAAATTTCCTTTTGCATTAAATTTAACAATACGAGCATTACAATATCCATCAGCAACATATATATATGAACCATCATTTGATGTAACAACATCAGTTGGTTTACAAAAATGTGATTCATCACTACCAGCAACAAATGATTCCCCAAATGTTAATACACGTTCATCTTTCGAATATTTAAATACCTTTTCGTTTTTAATCAAATATTAATTAACAAGGATTTTTTTTATTTTTTATTTTCTCATTCGATGCATCAAATATCTGTTAACTGAACATTTGCTTCAGCATCAACGGAAAGATCATGGGCAATATAAAATCTTTATATAAAATCTAGTCATCTGTTGTAATTCAGATCATTGAAGCAAAATGGGACGGGATAATTCGAATCATTCCAGCAAATTTACTTGGGGAGAACTTTGAAAACCTCTAGCATATCTTGAGTAAATTTTCAAGTGTTGTTTCTCAGACAAAAAATATTCGTCTCACTATGCCTTATCTTTCCATGTAAAATGAGACAAAAATAAATTGATGTGACCGATTATCATCCGAAATAATGAAACATAAAAAAAGAACATTTTTTTCAACTCACCATCTTATCTTTGAACTAAAATTTCATTGTTATGAGAAGTCTCGCAAAAAAAGGTTCGACTTTTTTTGATAAAAATATGTTGCCGGTACAAACTGATAAAAGAATTTAAATTATAAAATCAATGATTAAGATGATACATGGCTAATCATTGATGTTCACTTAAGTTTAGTATCACATAAATTAATACTATTTTTACGTGATTTTTCTGATTCGCTTGGCACTTTCTGCTGGACTAAATTGATGGTAAATTACATTTGTTGGACTCAAAATGTTAAATCATTTTTTGATGAGGTGAAAATAAGGAAGTTTTGTTGTCTCAATGAGACTCAGATATTGCTCTTATGATCATCGATTTATGGAGTTGAATGAAATTAATCTCTCAGTCCTATTTTGATTACCGGTACGCACATTTTTCTGATGGGTTTAGCATTGGTTACATTATACTGGTAAACATGTAATCTTTGTAACTCATTTTGTCATTTGCATCAGGTTTTCTCTGATTATTTCATATGATTTATTTCTAATAGCATTCTGTACCGTATATCGTCTTCCATGTTATCTGGAGTCAAATACTTTTGTTTTTATATGAGCTAGTGACTACTAATT